ACAATAATAAATACATAAAACATTTTGAGAATTAATACAAAAATAGAAAGGTACATCATCACATAAAAGAAATAAGATAAAATAGTAGGTATCTGAAGTGAACAAGAATACTAAAAAAAGGAAAAAAGGAAAAAAAAAAAAAAAAACACACAAATACAATATAAAATATACATATAAAATAAAAACAAATAAGTACACATAGCTTATTACTCACATAATAGTATTTTATTAAGATATATATTTATATTTTTTGCAGAATTAATTCTTAGATATTTTTTGTCGCTAAAATTTAATGAATTGAACGCTTTAGGTCCTAGATAATCCATAAATTTCTGGCCTATACTTTTTTTAGCATATTTTATTTTAATATCATAGGCAATAGTTTCTCGTTTATAGGTATTATTTTTTAATGGTGAAAGTTTTTTTAAGATAAAGGAAATTGTAAATTTCTTGTATAGTTGGCTTACTGGTAGAACACTAAGTTCTAGGTAATTTTTGTTTGTAGATCCGATTTTATTACATTTATTTAAACATATACGAATGACTTTATTTTGCTGTGTGATTAAAGGTCTTAGTATATTCTCAGTAGCTCCCCCCCATACTATTATTCCATATTGGAAAATCGATTGATATAGAGACATGTATACTATTCTCATGATATCATTAGAGATAAAATTTCGTTTATTATAAAGTTTGAATATGATTGTCCTTAACCGTGTTGTAATGTTTTGTATATGTACATGCCACCTCATATTATAATCAAAAGTCAAACCTAAATATCTTACTTTAGTGACTCTATTTATTTTGGAGAATGTTGTGTTATCAGTATTATTATCATTATTACATACTATTAATTCTTGAAAAGTGAAGTTGGAGCAACTGTATATAGAGAAGGCCATACAATTTGTTTTTTGGAAGTTTATAGTTATTTTTATAGAGTTTAATTTCTGGATTATATGGGTTGTTTCTATAACTGACTTATTATGAACTAGGTCCCATGAGTTATCAGAAAAAAACTAAACAAGTATCGTCCGCATATGTAGTTATAGACCCATCAATTTGCATATTGCATATACTATTAATGTACATTATGAATAGGACTGGACCAAGCACACTCCCTTGAGGTACTCCACAATTTAGTGTTGCCTTTTTTTCCAATATTATCATTTATTTTAACCATCTGGGTTCTATCTTTTAGATAGCTTGCAAACCATTTATAACTATTTTTCATGATACCAAAACTAGGCATGATTTTTAATAGTTCATTATGATCTACCGTATCAAATGCTTTTGAAAAATCTAGAAATACTGCAATAGTTTTTTTTGCTGTTATCTAGTGCATCGTAAATAAGTTTTGTTACCTTATATAAGGCATCAGTTGTGCCTATTCCTGGTCTAAAACCAAACTGGTTTTTTTGAGAGCAATTTATTACTTTCTAAAAATGTAATTAGTCTTGATTTGACTATTTTTTCAAGAATTTTTGCGAAATTTGTAATTAATGATATTGGCCTATAGTTATTTAAGACTTTTTTATCTCCATTTTTTAAAAATTGGTTTCACAATAGATATTTTAAACTTTGATGGAACTATACCTTCACTTATGCTTTTATTATATATGTAAATTAATGGATCGATTATTTGTTTTGCTATATGTTTTAATAGTTTAACTGTTATGTTATCATGACCTGTAGCTGTGTCATCCTTTAAATTATTTATTAAATTCATGACTTCAGTTTTATTAACAGGTTGATTGAAGACAGTGTCGAAATTTGTTTTAAAAGGGTATTGTATTTCTGTATTTTCAGCATTATTAAATTTTTCGGATAATTTCAAACCAATTGTAGAAAAAAAGTCGTTAAATGTGTTACACGCTAAAGTGAGTTCATTTTGAACGTCAACTATTTTATCATCAATTTTTAAATGTTTAATATTATCTTTAATCATTGAACTCTTTGAAGTAATTTCGTTTATTAATTTCCATGTAGCTTTTAGGTTATGTGACAAAGACATAGAGTTAAATTTATTTTTATAAAAATTTGTTTTTGCCTCCTTGATCAATGAGTTTAATTTATTTCTATAAGTTTTATAATATTTCAATAATGAGTAATTTGTAGGGTGTTTTTTTAATTTCTTCGAAAGTTGGTTTTTTTTTCCGCATTGAGCTCAATAGTCCTGCAGTCATCCAATCTTTTAATATTTTGTTTTTAGACGTAATTTTTTTTTTCTTGTGTGCAAGATTCAACAATTTCTAATATTTTATCATGAAAGTTCTTAACTGCATTCTCAAAATTACACTCATTATAAACACATTCCCAGTTCACCTTATCTAGATTGGCTTTAATTAGGTCGTAATTAGTAATTTTAATGGTTTTATTATTTTGATGTTTAAATTTTAGCAATGGAATTGATGAAATAATTGGGCAATGGTCTGTTATGTCAATTTGGATGTTTAAAGTTATTATTAAAGTTTATTTGTGAACATTATTGAAGTTAGCAAAGGCGCTGCAAGGGGGGTGCATTGCACCCCCTGTCAAAATTCATGGCGGCGCCCTTGGAAGTTAGGTACATAGTATAGGAACATCATAAACATATTTTCTTTTTAATATTACATTTTTTTAATTAAAAAATTTCATCAAATTCAAAAAAATGTATTAATAATATATACAAAACATTAGTTATAAAAAATCCGATACTTTTTATTCAAATAAATATGAGAAAATATAAGAATTTTCCATTTCCAATTATTTTGAATTAACATTAATTTTACAATTATATTTCAACATAAATCTAATGATGCATAATTATAAATGTGATTAAAATATAGATATTTGAGATGTGAAAATCGTCGTTATGGATGTCCAGTATCTGCAAAAATGTCAACAATTGAAGGAGCACAAATTATAATTTCTAAACGTCATGTTCATACTCACGAACCAGCACCTCAATATGCAGTGGCGTTGCGAAGCTATGTTAACAGTTTAAGAGAGAGAGCTATTAGGGAGAATATTATTCCACACAATATTGTTGACCAAGAAGCGCATTTGTAAGTCTTTTAACAAATTAATCATTTGACTTTATAATATGATTGTATATAAATGTATTAAGGGGGTTGGAAGTGCTTATTTAATAAGGGGTAAAATTTAGGCAATTTGTAATCACGTCGTCACCGCCCGATGTATTTGTGTTAGTCGTAAATGATTATTAGTGTGAGTGCGGTTCATAACCTGTACCGCCACCTTCCTCTTTGTCATAGTCACATCATTATCACAATGTTATTTATAGTTTTATTTCCATTTTATAATAATAGTGTGTATCCGCTATCGCATTGAACTATTATATTTCGTTGTAGGTACATAATACGTAATACATTTATACCTATTATACGTGTCATTGCTGCGGTCGCGCATTTTTACAAAAGTGGCTGTTGTTATAAAAAAAAATAGACTATCCGACTATTATAATAATTAATAACCAATAAATATTAAATAATACTAAATACTACAAGGAAATGATATTAATATAATTCATTGTTTTATGAAACATTAACTTAAAAAAAATTATAAATACATTTGAAATAAACAAATAAATGTAATAAAATTAAAAATATAAAAGATTAAAAAATGAGTAGGAACGTCGTAAGTTTGTTATGTTTTTAAATATTGTGGATTACATATTTCTGGCAACATATGGTCCAGGTAGAATTCTGACAACGTCATCTCCATCTTATTATTCCAGATATCATCACGTTCAATTTTATGTATACAAATCTCTATAACAATAATTACAAAATCTTACAATAATGAAATAATAATTATTAGTACCTACAGTAAAATGTTTTGGTGTCCATACAACAAAGTAGCAATATTTTCTGTTTGTTATATGCAACTGCCCTTGTACTTGGTAGTAGTAAGAATGGTTTTTTTTTTAAAAATAGTTTACCCGATCGCATATCCAAAAACTTTAACTTTTTTGCTTTGTGTGCATCTTGGGGAGTAAAATTTTTAATAATAATAACAAACTGAATTATGTAAATACGAACATTGTAGAACTACTCTGGTCTAGAATATTGTCATTGCTATGTGGTTGATATTGCGGTGTCGAAGAATCAGAGTTTTCCTGCATAGCCACGCATAAAAACACAGAAAAATGTTTAAAATAAAAACTAAAAATAACATTCAAAGAATACAAATAATTACAATTTAACTTACTATATTATGTATGCGATTTAAACGCCATTTGTGTATCGCTTCTATATGTCCTTTATTTATTTATTTATTTATTTATTTTTTTTATTTATTTATTTAGACGGGCTAATGCCCATTAATAAAAATATATAAGATGGTCAGTATTGTACAATGCCAAGGTAAGCTTAGTGGTTAACATGCATATTTTATAGGAAACATATTTAGATAAATGCTAATATTAGGTTTTATACAAATAACAATTAATAATATAAATATATACAACATATTATCTAATCTATAAAATTCTTACGTCTATTTTATTAAGTTGTTTAAGTATACTTTGAAAATATCAGTCGATGTACATGAAAATAAATCAATATGAAATATATTAACAAATTCCATAACTCTAATAATAGGAGAATTTTGACAATAATTGGTAGATTGGAATGGTACATAAAAGGTATTTGTCTTGTACTACGGCTAGGAACTAGGAAGCTTAATCTTGAAATTAATTCAGGACAATAAACTTGTCCATTAAGTAATTTAAAAATAAAACATAGATCATGCCTTTTCCTTCTAACTTCTAATGATTCTATGTTTAAAAAAGATAATAATGGCTGATAAGAAGTGTGAGGAGTACGCTGAATGTTACAGTTAAAGGACAAGAATCTCAAAAAACGATTTTGTATCGACTCTATCTTTTTTATCGGGCCTATTCTACTGGGTGACCAAATTATAGAGTTAGTTGAAGTCCAAAATTGACCGGACAAAAGAGCAATAAAGTGCTTTTAATGCATATGGATCATCAAAATTTTTACAGTTACGATTTATAAATCCTAGCATAGAAGAGGCTTTGTTTAGGATATTTAAATAGTGCTCATTGAATGACAGAGATGTATCAAAAATTATACCTAAATCATTGTTCTTATAGACACGAGTGAGTTTTGAATTGTTTAAATAATAATTATAAAGATGTGGTGTTCGTTTTTTCGAGAAGGTTAATACTTTGCACTTAGAAATATTTAAAAATAGTTTGTTCTGGTCACACCAATCATTAAGGATGTTTATATCGTTTTGAAGTAAGTCGGCATCATTTGGGGTGTTTATAATACGAAATAATTTTAGGTCATCCGCAAATAGTAACATTCTTGAGTTGGTAAATTTGATATCATTTATAAATATATTAAATAATAATGGAGCAATGTGAGATCCTTGAGGGACACCTGAACTTACATTATATTGATTTGAGGTAAAGTTTTTAATTTTAACATATTGTTTCCTGCCCGTTAAAAAAGATACCACCCAAGAATGAAACGGATCGCGTAAGCCCAAGTGGTATAATTTGGTGGTAAGAATATTATGATCAATTTTGTCAAATGCTTTTGAAAAATCGGTATATATATAACATCTACCTGGTGACCTGCATTAAAAGCATCTAATATATAATGCTGAAATACTAAAAGAATGGTAGTAGTCGACCTTCCAGTCATGAAACCGTGTTGCTCATCAATGATAATATTTTTAAATATTGGATTAAGTTTTTTTGATATAATACTTTCAAATATTTTTGGAATTATTGAAATAATAGAAATAGGACAATAATTAGTTACTTGAGTATTATCACCTCCTTTAGGTATTGGTGATACATAAGTAATTTTCTATTTATCCGGAAAAACACCCGATGAAAGCGATCGATTAAATAAAATTAACAAGGGAACGGCTAGGACAAATTTACATTCTTTAAAAAATATACTTGGTATCACGTCTGGACCAGGGCATGTTTTGGTACTTATGCAATTGAGTTCTCCGAATATGTCATTTAAAGTCAAAACGCATTTATTAAAATCGACTGAGTGCATATTAATATTTTCGATACTAGGAACTGCATTACAATAATACGGCTGATTAAATACGCTCGAAAAAAATCGAGCAAAACAATTAGAAATATCAATACCACCACAGTAATTTACATTATTATAATTCATAGATTCTGGTAGAGTGGAAGTAGATCGTTTATTTCGGATAAATTTCCAGAATAGTTTCGGATTAGACTTAATAGAATTTTGAGTTTTGGTAATGAAGCTATTATACTCAAGTTTATTTAGTGACTTACACTGGGCACGTAAATTTGAAAACTGGTTATAATTACACTGAGTCGGATATCGTTTATATATTTTATGTGCTATTTTTTTTCTTAGTATTAACTGCTTTAGTGTTGTACTGAACCAAAGAGGATATTTTGGTGTATATAAATATTTTTTCGGACATGAAAAGTCAATAATTCTAAAAATATTTTCATAAAAAATATGGACAGCATCATTGATTTGTAAATTGCTTAATACCATTCCAATCTATTGAAGCAATATGTGATCTTATATTATAGTAATCACAATGCAAAAAGTCATAAATTTGTTCGTTATAATTTAATGGCTGAGATAATAAGACTGATATTTTAGTTAACAAAGTTGGATGGTACATTTGATCTATAGGTACAAGAGGATACATAACGGGGGATACACTTACATTACTTATATTTGAAAAAACTAGATCGAGCATTGAACCAGAACGATTATAAACTAAGTTATGTTGCATTAAATTAATGTACGAAAGACTAGTTAAAATATTTGAATTGAAATTATTTACATTAGATAAGTCGGGAATAATATTATTATTTACAGTAATCCATTGAATATTTGAGAGATTATAATCTCCCAATACTAAAAATTTGGAATTAGGATTATTAGACATGAGATTATCTAAAAGATCGAAATGATTATTATATACAGCAATATCAGAGCGAGGTGGTAAATACACCGTGCCAATAATTAATGAAAAAGAATTAATACTTATTTCTATATACAGTTGTTCAATTAAATTATTATTTAGGTGTATTCGACGACTGGGAAACTTGTTCTTTACTGCGATAAGCACACCACCACCTCTAATACCGGTACTGCGTATGCTGCATCTATCGCAACGAAATACTTGATAATTAGCACAGAGTCCGAATTCAGCGTCGGTTACATTGTTTGATAGCCAGGATTCAGATAAAGTAATAATATCATAATCAGATGGTGCAAGGTTACGGGTAAATACATCTATTTTAGTGTTGATACCACGTACATTCTGGTAGTATATAGATAGATCATTTAAAGATTTGTAATTATTTTGCCGTTTTTTGAAATAATCGGCAAGCCATTGAAATATTTAATATATAAATCATTTTCATCTGCATCTCTCCGTGATTTTAACTCAGCTATAATAGACAAGAAATATTTACGCTGTTGTATAGTTTGGTCAGATGAAATACGAATTTTACTCAGATTATTTACACCAAGTAGCTTCTTTTTCACTTTTAAGACTTCAAAAACTCCGCTGGATTAGGAAGAACAATACGTAGTGGACGAGGCTTATTAGATAATTTACCAAGTCGATGTATAGACACTGGCTTAGTTTCTGTACCTATGCAGTTAAGCACATCTGTGACGATAGAAATATCTTGAGTTTGGCTAGGTGAATTCGAAGATTCAGGAACATTAAATAAAATTATATTACGCGATCGTGATTGACGGTCCAAAAGTTCAGAATACACTTTTTCCTGGGACATATTACATGATTGTTCAGTATTTTGAGAATGCTCTATACCCAGTAGTTTAATCTCGAGTTGTTCAACCTTTTCCCTTAATGTTTTATTTTCATTTAAGACTTCAGTTAGTTGAGAAGATAATAGATCAAGCTTAGATTCAAATGAAATGTATTTTTTTATCCTGAGCTTTAATAGATTCACGGCACGAATTTAAAGACAAAATAATTTTATTTTGTGAGCTTTTTAAATCGTTTAGCATACCTGTGAGATTATTTAATTTTTCGTTGGAATCTATTTCGGAAGTGTTAGAAGATTTCGGAGACTTAGGTGGCATAATTGTATAAAATAATTATAATTGTGTAGAAAAATTAAGAGTGAAGTAAAACAATGAAAAGAATATTAGGATGTTTCCGGTAACGCACGAAAACGAAACAGATAAACGCACTGTTTTTTAACTTATGTTTTTTTAATTTGGACAATCTAACTATTTTTCTTTTCTTGTTACTAGATCGTTTTCCATTGTACAAATTAATTAAAAAATGTTTATTTGAAAAGAAAACGCTATTCAATTAAATAATTTTATAAGTAAAAAAAACTTATTTTAATTTTTAATTGTTTATTCATTAGCTCACCGCACAGAAAAAAAATGAACAGAGTGAACCGTGTTCATAGAATAGCCGGTGACCATCGATAACAATGTTTCGTAATCGTATTGATATAAATAGTTTGTGGCGAGAGGGAACCATATCCGCACGCATACGAGCAAGTCACCAAATGTCGCGCACGGCATCGCTTACGAACGGAGATTATTTGTTGAAAGCATGTACTTTTTGTCCACTGTACCGATGTAACTACTTTTGCGATAAGAAATCTGAAAACATATTTTTATTCGTTATGAAGTTTATTTGTGATTGATCATCCCATTTTTTTGATTTTTTTTTTTTTTAATTCGGTTTATTCACTGTTTAAAAATTCAAAAATTGTTAGTTTTTAAATCAAATGTAAGGAGGGGATAAGAGCCAAAATTTAAAAAAATGCGATGATCGATCACAAATAAACTTCATAACGAATAAAAATATGTTTTCAGATTTCTTATCGCAAAAGTAGTTATATCGGTACAATGGACAAAAGTTGGCATGTTTTCGTCAAAAAAAACGATCGGTTTTGAATCCCCTTAAGTACAAATAAATAATTATATAGATTCCCTGAAGCAGCGATGTATATAGGTCGTCCAGCTGCTCTTAGGGCTATTGCAGGAGCTAGGCATCGGAACAATCCTCCTATTCCAGATTCTTTAGCAGACTGGATAAATATTTTGAATTCTAATGAATGGGGCCCAAGATTGCGATATGTTAATGGATCAATGACTCCTTTTTACCAAGGCCCCTTGGAGTTATTGAGAGATGATGGAAGTACACGCTTTGTAGGACTCGTGTTTACCAACAATACTTTCATGCAGGAATTGAATGCACACCTCGAAGGAGTACGAACAATGTGTATGGACGGAACTTTTCAAATAAGACCACGGAAACCAGCTGACATAGAACAGTTGTTTACAGTACAAATTATTTTTAATAATGTGGTTAGTTTAAAATAAAGACATACATAGTACACATGTAAATATTATACATACATTTAAAATATGATTTATCTCTTTTCAGGCAATTCCAATTATACATGCCCTACTAGTTGATCGCCAAACCGAGTCCTACATCCGGGTACTCCAATTTCTAAGGTATGATTTGCAGTTGAACATAAATTATGAAATCTGCAGGTCATGACTGATTTTGAACAGGGCCTAAGAAATGCCATAGGTAGAGTACTCCCAAAAGCAAACAATTCAGGCTGTTGGTTTCACTATATTCAGGTAGGTACCTTAAAAATAAAGAGAAATCAAATTAACTCTTACTATACATAAATAAATTATTTAATGACATTTGAAGGTAATAGACAGTTTTTTAATAAATGTTGTCTTTTTCAGAGCATTATACGTTATGTTCGAAGTCATCATCTAATGCCGTTATGCAGAGAAAATGAAAATGCAAGGCGAATTCTGCGAATGGAAATATTTTTTTTTACAATGAATAAGTGAGTAAATGAGAATTTTATTATAAAATTAAAAACTTTTACAGTATAACCACTAAACAAAGGAAAATATATTGAGTAAGAATGTACTATGTACCAGAATTCGTTTTAATTTAATAAAAAAAAACAAAATAGCATATGTGCTGAATAATTGCATCTGTAGTAAAATAAAGTGTTGTACTTGCATGTAAATATTAAAAAACATTTTCTTTGGTTAGAAATTTCACTTTCCCTTTTAATAAATTAACTTTAGTTAGGTATGCAAGTAAAAATTTACTAATCAAACTAATATATCAATATTTTTGTATAATTGTAATATTTGATTGATTTTTCTTAACATTAATTTCTGTTAACATTTTTTATATTAGTTAATAGCTTTAGTTCATTTACCAGCAATTGTCATACAACATCATGGCAATTCTTTCTTTATCCACTTAGGCTTTAGACTAATTCAAGATCTAGGTGAGTTAATAATCATTAATTAAATAATGTTAAGTCATTTGTTTAGGTGTTAGTTTTATGAATATGATTTTAATATTTTTAACTACAGTTACCAGCTATAATTTAGTGATAGAACTGGAACCTCTAATGCGATACTATGAGCGATTCTGGATGGATACAGTGACTCCGCAGAGGTTTACAGTATTTGGACTCGCACACAGAACCAATAATTTTATAGAGTCTTATCATGCGTCCCTCCTCCGATTAATGGTCCAACACCCAAACCTTTATCGGTTCTATGGTAATTATTTAAAGAAAAAAATAAAAAAAATTAGCAACTGTAAAGAAAAAGTCTGTATTTGAACAAATTTTTAGATCACTTAAGAACAGTCGAGGAGAGGGCTCGAAATGATTTTAGCAGAGCAGTCAATGGATAGAGGGTATGGGCAATAATAATTTTTAAATAATATGTGAACTGTTATAATATAATTGTTGTTTATTAAATGTTTAGATTTGTAATCTCTGTATATGTGTAATTTATAATTGTTATAATTTAATAGGTAAGACAAACAAATTATAGATCAAACCTAAGCAATAGTACAACAATCAGAAACGCTTGGGTGAATGTGGAAAATGGTAACTACAATTTGGAAGATTTCATAAGAAATGTTTCATACACCCCGGAACAAATACTCAGGAACGAAATTGGGGAGCCAAATTTTCCACATCGTAATACATCTTGCATGTTATTTAAAGTGATCAATAGTTTTAGTTTAACTTTATATTTTAATTTTTATACTTAGAAGCTATAGTTCCAGCTATAAATATGCAGCCACTAGTACCACCAGCACCATTACAACCACAGCCAATTTTGCCCCCCCTTCATATTGGGTCCAATTCGTCAACCACCTATTCTTCAGAATCAGCTCCCGATTCAACCATTGTCACCACATCAGCTTCAAATTCGTCCTCCATCTCCAGGGTTACATATAAGAGAGTTAATAGTCGATGTTCCTCTCAGGAGACGCGATCGAGGTAGAGGAGAAGGCATTTCCAAATTGGTCGACCTTATCATATAGGTAAAAAAAAAAAAAAAAATGTTTTAAAACACTAGTTAATTTAATATATAGTTAATCCAATAAAATATAATATAGAAAATCATGGTCGCAGAGCAAGAGGACTACGGCGGCAAACAATTGCTGGCAATGGTAGAGGTGATGAACAGCCACTACCAAATCATGAAATAGCACTATTGAATAGAAAGATTGATAATGATAATGGTAAAGCTAATTTGAATTTAAATACAAATCACAACAAGAATTGATTTTAAGTTTAAATATACAATTTTTTATTGTTTATAGAACCAATAATTCCTCTACCGGCCAATTACCAACCACTTATTTTGGAGAATATGGGTAGATAAATATAAAATTATTTTTACAATAATTATACTATACGCATAAAATATTAAATGTAAATGATATACCTAATTCCTATTTTTTTTGTTTTTTTTTTGTAGATGTCTTGGAACTGTGTATAATATGTTGTGAAGAAGTAGTGGTTGTAAGGTTGAATCCCTGTGGTCATCAATATTGTATTCAGTGTGTCACTAGAATGATGGAAGAAAATTATAATATATGTCCTCTTTGTAGAAATTCAATATCAAGATATGAAGGGTACAATATTTAAGAAAAATTAATTTTTTGTAATTTTCAATTGTATTTTTTTTATATGTAACTTAAAAGGCCGAAACTAAAGAAAAAAAATAAAGATATTTTTAGTGTGTTTTAAATTTTGAATTTAATATATTAATTATTTTTATCTTGTACATATTATATATACCTATATCTATTTTAATAAAATTCTTTAAAACAAAATTTGTTACCATATATTTTTAATTGATTGAATAAGTACCGACGTTTTGGATCATAAATGATTTATTTGAGTAAAAAAAAATTTCTCTTACACAAAAAAAATCAAAGAAATATCATAATTAAAAAAAACATCCGAATAGTATACAAATTCATCCAATTTGTTTTGCATATTTCTTAAATAGAATAATTAAATTATCGTATTTATGATGGATACATTAAATATTATTAACATTGCTACATTATTAAATAAGTTTAGCATGAAGTTAATAAATAGGGAATGTACTCAAAACAATAATATGGAATGCTTGATTAAATAGGAAGTTAGCAGTAGTTAATAGTTCAAAAGTATGCTGCCAAGAACCATTCATATTTTACTATATAAATATTTATATAATTTAAATAACTTATAGGTATTGTAGTGCATTGTAAGAAAAAATGAGTTTAGACTTTAGATTAAGTTAATGTGTAGAAAATACATAGATATTAATGAAATTAGATAATAAGAATTAATTTAAAAATACAAAACAAATCTTAAAAAAAACAATTTAATAGCATAATAAACTAACAAACTTTAAAATATTAAGTCTAATCACTACTATAGTTCAGCTCGAGCAACCGTACAGCGCATACATGCAGTTCATTGTTCCCGAGCTATGTTTATACATTATTCGTTAATCTTATCGGTTTACGATCTAACTTTTTTTCAAATTCAATATAAAGTCGCAGCAAACTTGCAACTCATACTATCAAACCACTTTAGCACCTTCAATCATCGCTACATCAAAAAAAGTAATATATATTTAATTAACTAATTAATTAATAACAAGAGAGAAAAAATTATCTATATCAGTCACTCCAGGCACCGTTAACGCGGTGACCTTTGGACTGCAAACTAGATAACCGCACCATGCAATCTAATCCGCCTAAAAGTAAACAAGCTAAAACGGTACAACCAATTAAAATAGTTAATAATCAAGTGATTAACAACGCTCTTCCATTATCAAGCCCCGAATGGCAGCAACAACAAAAACCTTCAAAACGTAATCTCCCCTGTTCACCAAATAGCCCGATCAATATCCAAGGGAAAAAAATCAAAATTTTTTTCCTCGCCAAACCGATTCTCCGTATTAACTGAAAATGAACCCGATACAATTGATAACGATGACACTAATAATCAAAACGAATCCGCAATCACACAAACAAACAAAAAAGACCAACCACCACCAATATTTGTAAAAGGAATACTTAATTTTTCTAATAATCTTAGAAATGCAATTGGCGATCTAATTGGGCAGGATAGCTTCACTTGCAAATCAACTACCACGCATCTAAAAATTCAACCAGACACTCCTGATAACTACAGAACAGCTTGTATGGTGACTATTAAAGTCGCCAATATATATTGCTGGGTATTTTATCGTACTAAGAGCAGGAGTGGGCCAATCAGTAGCCGGAGGCTTGTAAATATTATTTACATATAGGTTCCCTATCTGGATAACTATGGAAAATATGTTATTATCGTCTGAGGATTTAATGTGGTTCCATCTTAAATCGTTTTTTGACATAAGTAGCAGTTCCATAAAAATTAGTATGTCTCAGTCAATTATTTTAATAATTTAAAATCATATACATTATTTAATATTTTAATATAATATATTATTGTTATTATAGTAAAAAGTTAAATTAGTTATGTGTCTTTTTAGTTTTAGTAAGTAAAGCCAGATGGAATAATATCCGTGACACTTACAGAAAGTCTTTGAAAATAGATATAAAAATAAATATCAACAAAATGTTGGCCACGAGATCCGTCGATCTCCACACAATAAAAATTAAATGGTGGTACAGTTATAATGTACTGCAATGCCGGAATCCGTAATTAATAATAAAATTAATACAATAAAAAATACAAGTGATTCTGCAACACACCGCTAACTGCACCACGAAGAACAATTCACACACAGCTGCTGCAACTGAACCATACAAAACAATATACTACGTTTAAGCACTAAACAATGCAGTCAATGGTAACAAATTGAACACCCTAAAGGGACAAAACAAATTAATGAAAGGCAATTTTACTGCGCGATAGTTACCAATGACTGATTCACAACAACCCGACAAGACAAGAAAAAACGTGGTATAACAAAAATGGCTACAAACAGGAACAAAGTGACAACAGGTATTCACACTACGACGGACACGAACAGAGAGAGAATCGGTGCCGACGACATTCACCATGAAGGCTATGCCACCGGTCACCATAAAATGAAGATAAATGTCTCAGTGCCACCACACTAAAACTATAACACGAGAACTTATGAAACTTTGTGGCACTGAGAGCATGACATTGACTTTTACAGAAAACATAACTGAAAACTTGAAATCGTGGAAATAACGGACACATTTACGCGTGACGATAACAACGCGATTACGTACCCGGCCGGTCGTACACGGAGGCTTATCACCGTCGCTGACGATGGCTGCAGATACGCAACGCACCGCTATGCATCGCACGAAAATGGTAACATTCATTACAACAATCACACATAGTAACGATCTCACGCGCGATAAGAATCGATACGAACAGTTAGCATGTAACTTGTTTACATAGTGGTAAGTGGTAACTGATACAATCATAATAATATAATACAGCAATACAGCATAGTGTAAAACTGTAAAGTTAGTTTATTGTTTATGGCCAAAATGAAGATCTATTGTTTTGTGGTGTTCTTTACGAGCGAAACGAGGAAAATTTTTTGTACGAATATAATTTGCTAGATACGATAATTTTTTAATGGTTGTACGATATACTCATCAACGGAGGTTGGCAACACTGGTGCTCCGTGAAATTATTTAATCGTTTATAGACACATTTCTTAACATAAAAGTTAAAAAAACTTTTTTTATTAATATATATTTTATATAAATTACAGACCATTTGAATAATAATCAATTACATGTTACTATAGAAATCTAATAATTTCTTATATAATTTGTTTGGGTGGTTCATGTGCTCCTGTGCACCATACCACGAGCCGCCACTGTATGAAATTGAAAAAATCAAAATTATGACACGCTATGAACTTATAAAACACTGTGCTAATTTACAACTCGTGTTAACGGATGATGATTCCGCCGATATTAATGGGATGAAAATGGCGGACGAATTAACAGTTTTGACGACAAAGGTTCAATCAAAT